GCAATGGAAAAAATATCCTCAGGTGAGAATTAAAAAAAAAAAAAAAAAAAAAAAAAAAAAAGACTGTTCTTCACTAATTTCTAGGAATTGGGAAAATCTGGCAGCTACCCAAATGTCCACTTATCTCCATAAACTCCACTGGCTCCATAAACTGAATACCACCAGTCATGGAATCCTAACTGCATTAAACAGAATGAGCTGGATCTCTGTGTGCTGATGTGATGTGAAAGATGGCCAAGACTCACTGATAAAATCGAGTTATTTTTAATGGGTTTTTCCCATGCTTGAGCATGTCTTTCTGTTCTTCTCTCCCTCTCTGGCCATTGCTCTTCTTGCCTGCCCTCCAGGGAGCACAGAACAAGGCCTGGGCATCAGTGCAAACTTTGGGCTGATTTAAAAAACCCAAAACCAAACAAAAAATTGTGTGAGCCAACTAAATACGTCTACAGGCTTGGATTCAGCCTGGAGAATAATGGTGACCTCTTTTAAAAAGGGTAAAGTCCCTACGAATGATACAGTTTAAAGGGTGGTCGTTTGAAATCCACACTCCCTACCCACCCCCACCAGCTGTCTACCCTGCCCTGATCCCACATGCCCCACAGCAGAGGAGGAAGAAAGGCAAAACAGCAAAGAGTATATGGCATTAGATACCATAAGCTGTGTCCAGGCCCCTTTTGGTGCTGACAAGGGTGGGTGAGACATCTATTGAGCAACTTCCGGTTATCTCATCAAGCCTTCACATTAACCTTTGGAGAGAGAGTTTAGATGTCCAGCTTACAGGGGAGAAACCAGAGACCTGGCTAGTTCAAGGGCACAAGGCAGGAAGTGGAGGAGCCCTGGGTCATAGCTCATGATGTCTAATGCCGTGCTCTTTGCTGCTCTGCCCCAGTCTTTTTCCTTTGCTGTGGGGCATGTGGGGATCAGGGCAGGGTAGATGGCTGGTGGGGATGGGTAGGGCGTATGGATTTCAAACAACCACCCTTTATACTGTCTATCATTTGTAGGGACTTCACCCTTTCTAAAACAGGCTGAATCCAGGCCTGTAGACATATTTAATTGTCTCACAAAGTTTTTATATTCTATTTATTTTTTTAGAGAGAGGAAGGAGGAGAAGAGAGAAAGAGAGAGAGATATCAATTTATTGTTCCACTTATTTACGCATTCATTGGTTGATTCTTGTATGTGCCCTGACCAGGGATCAAACCTGCAACCTTGGTGTATCTGGAACAACACTCTAACCAACTAATCTACCCACCAGGGCCAGCTCACATAGTTTTTTTGTTTTTGTTTAAATCAGGTACCAACATTTAAAAATGGAGAGATTTTACATGAAAATCAGGTTCCTTTTGAAAAGAATCCGTCAAGTCTGGGGCATATTCCACCCGCCACAATGGGGTAGAGCTTAGTAGCTGCTGTCTGGCGTAGACTCCTTACTCCTTCCCAGTTCCCGTCTGGCCCCCTTCACTCAAGGGCAGTATCTGCCTCGCCCAGGGGGCATCTGAGCTTGAGAACTGCCCCCTCCCTGGTGCCTCTTCTGATCTGATTCTCTTCAGGACAAGCAAGTATAGTTGGCATAGTTGGTATTACCAGACTCTGGCAGGGGCCTGAGTGAGAATTAGTGCTAGAGTTTGAACTTGAGCTCCAGGTGTTGGGTCCAAAGTCTCTGCTGTTCCCCAGGGCCTGCTTCGTCCGGTCTGGGGCCATTTCACCAAGAACTCTGTCTCCTTCCTCCTGGGCAGATGCTGACTTTCATCATGCTCGCACGATTGGCTACCCTGTGTCCTGCACCGGTCCTGCAGAGGGTGGACCGGCTCATTGAACCACTCAGGGCCACCTGCATTGCCAAAGTAAGCCCCCTGTCCAGCCCCGTGCACACCTGTGGGCCTTCTGCAGCTCGCTCATAGGTACCATTTACCAAGAACCTCCTGCAGCACGGGACATATGGGAAGTGCTTATTTTAATCATCATCCTATAAAATTCTTCTTGTTCCTTATTATTCTTACCCTTGTATACACAGGGGAACAGACCAGAAGTTGTTGGCAGAGGCTACATAGCTAGCAAATTGCAGAGCTGGAATTCAAATCCAGCTCTGTCTCTGTCGCTCATTAAATATTTCCTGGGTGCCAGGCCTTGTGCAAGGTACTAGGGATACAACATTGAACATGATGGGCTCCCTCCTCTCACATCTAATTGGGAAACTGAGGCAGACTCTTAGTAGTCAATGATTGACGGGTTGATTGATATAGGGCAGCGTTGCTGCTAGACTGGAATGCCTTAGGGTCCAGGGTAGGGATCTGGGACAGAAGGCTGCATGGAAAGCTGCAGTGTTGAAAACAGAGCGTGGAACACCAGTAAATACCTGTTGAATGAAAGAACTAATTTGGGTTTTGAACGAGTAAAAAGATTAGTCACAAAGAGGGCAGAGTATTTGAGATTGGAGCTTAAAGAAGAGAGACACCCATAGAGCAGTAATTTCCATGTAGCAAAATCTTTTCAAAAAAAAAAAAAAAATCTGTTTATGTGGATAACACAGATAAAATTGGTAAGTAATTGAAACCTGACCTTATTTCCCTCTTTGTGATATTCATAATATTCTTACATTTTTTTCATAAACTTAGAGGGGGAAATACTAGTGTATTTGATTATATGGTACTGTACCAGACCCATGTTATCTGCACACTATCACCTTTCTAACACCCCCAAACTCCTGAATTTCAAAAGCACACCTGGCCCCAAGGATTTCGGACAAGGGATGTGGACCTGCTTGGTCATTTAATCCTCATAGCAGCCCTATAAAAGGAGGCTCCTATTTATAGTTTGTGAAGTGAGGGACAAAAAGGTGATTACCTGAAGTCACAGCTCTGACCTGGCGGAGCCATTCGAACCCAGGACTGTCCAACCCCAATACCAAGCTCTTGACAATCAGATTCTTGAGGGGGAAGAGACTAGTTGTCTGGGTTAAGTCATGGAGGACCTTTATTCTATAAGCAATGGGGGAATTCCTGAGATTCTCTGAGTAAGCGGGAGAGGGTGAGGGATGCGGAAACAGAAAGCAGACAAGGCACCTTTGATGTTTATTCTCTGGCTACCTCTGCAGAATGGACAGATGACAGCCTAGAAGACTGTCACAGTCATCCATTCAGTGATGTCCTCTGGTACCAAGAGTTTCTTTTAAGCACAATAAAGAGATAGGTCAATGTTCTTGTCAGGGGAAGATTATGTGAACACTTTATACCAATTGTCACCTTCAATTTATTACAAAAAATAAAGGTAATTTAGATTGGCTGTTTGGAGGTGCTTTAGGTGACTTTGAAGCTAATTTGAATGACAACCCTCTTGGGAAATCAGCCAGTGTAAAAGCCCAGAGGTGGAAGAAACCCTCAGGAGGCTGGAACCATAGGAGATTGTGAAGCAGGTGGTAGAGAGGAAGCCGAAGAGGCTGTGGTGCAAGGACAGGCTCAGTAAAGGATAGCTCATTGTTGTTTCCCACTTTAGGTCAAAGCTGGTTCGGTGAAGCAGGAATTTGAGAAGCAAGATGAACTGAAGCGCTCTGCCATGAGGGCAGTGGCCGCCTTGCTGACCATCCCAGAAGTGGGAAAAAGCCCCATCATGGCCGACTTCTCTTCCCAAATCAGATCCAACCCTGAACTTGCTGCCCTCTTTGAGAGCATCCAGAAGGATTCTGCTTCAGCCCCCAGCACAGACTCAATGGAGCTCAGCTAGTCCTACTCCAGCCCCTAGATGGGTCCTCAGTCAAGAAAAGGGGACCCACCCAAGCCTGAGGTCTCAGTCTCACTGTCCCACCACCAAAGGCTACTGGCCTTTATTCCAAACTTTCTTCTCCTTGGGGGACCTCCTGTTCCAGTTTGGGCTTTACAGTGCCTTCTCCAAGGACTCCAACTCATCGGCCCCCAACCAGAACCTGTAAGGCTGCCAAGCCAACAGTTGGGCCCTTTAACTCAGGACAGCCATTCAAAGCAACAGCAGAATTCTCCAAGCCTTTCACAAAATTGATGAGACTTCACACTGGTCTGTCTGGTTCCTTCAAGCTGGGGAGGCCCTGCCTCACAAAATACTTAGCATTTAGATATACTCTTGTGTTCACAGCTGTGAGGTTAGGAGGCAGCAGGCTGGCCTTTCTTCCCACTCATTTTCATGATTCACTTGATCGAATTGATACACCAAAAATTAATGCTTTGGCTGGATATCTTAAAAACTCAGATTCTACTTCTGAGTTTTTCACATTTTTAGAATTCAAAAATATATATATATTTCTAATTGGCAGTGATGAACCAGAAATGTTTTCTTGCAGGGGGTAGAGTGGGTAGTGAATTAGAGCTACTGTTTTTTTTAAATTTCAAAACTTGTGAGCAAACTGGGAAACAGTAAAGCATGAAAGTACAAACCATGGTTTGTGTCCTTCTGAGGAAGGTTTTGAACATGTCCCTTTTAGTACTGAGGACACAGAATTAAGTGACAGGCCAAAGAACTTTGTGCTATCCCAGGCTAATAAAAGAGGTCCTAAATTACAACTATTTCTCTGCACAATTCTTCTAGTCAGTACATGTCCCAAGTCAATCTAAAGAAATCATGAAAATGACCAATAATTTACTTAACAAATGTTTCATACTAGGTTTTGGACAGAGGACAGTCAACCTGTAAGACATTTTATCTACTCAAACTAAGAGCCTTAAATCCAGTCCTGGCTAGCACACCAGGAAAATTATAACCAGTGCATTTGTTTTTGGCTCAGTTGATGCAGGATGGTGAAAAGAAAACCATGCTGTTTAAGGTCTTAAACTGCAGCGATTTTCAACTGGTGTACTGCAAGAGTTTTTAAAGCATGCAATACCGTCAGGGACACTGACCTTTTTTGTTGATCCTCACCTTAGGATATTTTTCCCATTGCTTTTTCAGAGTGGGAGGGAGGGGGAGATAGAAAAACATGAATGAGAGAGCCATGACTGGTTGCCTTCCACATGTGCCCCGACTTAGGCTGCAGAGCCAACCAGAGACCCTTCGATGCTCTAACCGAGCCACATCAGCTGGGACAGGGGCACTGACTGCTTTCTCCTGTTGTCAAAAAATGACAATAGCCTGGCCGGGCATGACTCAGTGGTTGAGCATAGACCTAGGATCCAGGAGATCATGGTTGAATTCCTGGTCAGGGCTCATGCCGGGGTTGCGGGCTTGATCTCGTTGGGGGGCGTGCAGGAGGCAGCTGATCGATGTTTCGTTCCCTTCCTCTTTTTAAAAACCAAGAAACTATTCTTTAAAAACAAAAACACATAGATTCTAGCTGTTGTAGTTGAAAAGGAGTTTTGGGTGTTAAATCTGAGTCCCAAGAGGCCCAATTATCACCAGTTAAGGATCTCACACCTGTAGAAATTATGCCTAAAGCAGCAAACTGGGGGATTTTATATAAGCGGGATTAGATTGAAAGCCATCTACAAATATCCAAGGTTTATCATATATAGAGGGACTTGTGTGTCATCCTAATTTGTATTCTTGGACAGAAGCTATACGGTGCTATTTCAGCACCAAATAAAAATTTAAAGAAGAAATTCATCTAGATCTTTTCACACATTTTCTCAATCTTCACAAGAACTACACAGGGTAACCTGTCATCCAATTTTACAAAATTGAAGCTAAGAACAACCTGCTCCAAGCTGCAAGGACTTCAAATCAAGGGTTTCAGAACCTACCTTGGTCTAAGGGCCAAGTCTTCTCCAGCTCTAACTAGAGATGACCAAGGCTGGTCTGGGCACCTGAGGCCGGTGCCCTGTAAAGGATCGAGTATCTTTTATAAACCCCTTCCAAATGACAGATTCCAGAACATTAACAGGCAAAAGAACAATCTCTGTGACAAGCTGTCAAAGTAAGAAACTGGAGAGTAAAACCAAGGGTGGAAATGCCAGATGGCAGAATTTTATAGTTTTATTAACACAAATACAATGTGTACACAATCTGTCTATTCATTTTCTTCGCTGCGCAGTCTGGCATTGGGATTGGTGACTCTGATGGCCAGCTGGGCTGCTCTTTCCACAATGGCTTTGCGGTTCTTTGAGGAGACGTTGTGAGCAATCTCAGCACAGTAAGATCTGGAAGAGAATCCATAAGTAAGTAAGGAGCAAGTCAGACGAGAACATACTTGTGTATTCTACTGGGAAGGCAATGGCTTTGGTTGCTTCACCTCCAGAGCCATAGCACTGAGCAAAGAGGGTGCAGGTAAATGGCTGCTGAGTGACATCTGCACATCCCCAAACCCCAACTCCCCAAATTCCATGGTATTAGCAAGACATTTAAAATACTTGCTGTGACAAAAATCACTCTCTCTATCCCTTTTATTTAATCCTCACAGCAGCCTTGTAATCCAGGTATCACCTTCATTTTACAGACAAGGAAGCCAAGGACCAGAGGTGGAAATGAATTTCCAAATCACATATTCAGTAATGGACGGACCAGGATGTCTCAGCCTTAGACTCCAGGTTCAGAGATTCTCCCTCAGTCTTTCTGGCCAATCTGCCCAGCTCAAGGAAATCTCAGGGAGCTTAGACTTGCTCTGGAAAAGTTTTGGAACTGCAAGTAGCAGAGGAGACTCCAACAGTCTGATTAATCCAAGGGCTCCCTAATCCAGACCACAGACATTTTACTTGTTTGCTGCAGATAAAATTCCAAGTCAAAAGTAATGCTGCCTCAAGCCACCTAGTAAGTAGCAACACCTAACATTTCCCAAGCATACGTATGCCAGGAACTAGTCTCATCCATTCCTCACAGTTAAACCAGACCCCAATTTGATAACAAACTGGTCTATTGAATACATTTCAGTAAGGAGATCTGAAGCCATAAAAGACAAAGAAAAGACACTACCCCTGGGAATTTCAGCAAAAAGACTAAGGAATGATTAAATAAAGCAGTGGGTATACATAGTTTTTAAGATCTCTGTAAGAAAATAGCTTAACAGACAGACAAGCAGAATAAACAATTTTTTAATTTTATATAAAGGAGTCCACTCAAGCTCAAAGTAGCTGTATTTTAAAAGCGTTTCTATAATCTTTGTTTTTAAGGAGACTAAGTCTTTAAGTTTCTTGTGGCCACACTTTTTGGCTTTTTTCCTCTTCATTTTTCCAAAACAACTCAGGTCTTTCTCCATATATATTTAATAATCACAATCACACTGTCCATTTTAAATACTTCCCCCTCTGCTTGGGCATTTTCCATATGTGACAATTTTCAATGTACGTAAGTATAGCATTCCACTCAGTGCTGCACTCCCACCGTCCACCAATTATATTTATAATTGTTCAGTTATTGTTGCAATGATCAGCTTATAAAGTTTCCCTGCTTTTTAATTAAGGATAAATGCCCAGAAATGGAGCTTGTGGATTAAAAGCCATGGGTTCAGAGTGTTCTATGGCTCTTGACACTGCAACATTTGCACCACACCATTTTTTGCTACACAACAGGTATTAGATTGCATCTTTCTGTTACAATTCTCTATCAATCTACTTAGTACAGTTTGGGCATCCACCATTATTAATCGCTATGTTCATCCTTTCTAAAGAAAATTTCAATGCCTGGTTAAATCTCCAACCTAGAAAACTCAACCAAAAACGGTTTTGTTCATTTTTATTACCTGTGTCTTTAGTCACTATAGCTAAAAGATCTTAGTAAACATACATACACAGAGATACCAGTTGTGTCTAAATCACTTCCCACAAGCAATCTTTTCTCAACCCACTGCCCTAGTTTTGGCCTAAGCAGACCATAAAGCCTCACACAGAGCTCACTAAGTGTCTAACTTTTAAGTCTTAAAACAATGAGAAAGCAATGCTGTGACCCCTCCGCTCACTCTTGCATCTATACAACATTGTGTAAGTGCCCTCTGCCTGCAGTCTTCCTCCTTTTCTCAACCTCTGATGGCACTGAGCTCTACATCAGTGACTCCATTCTTGTAGCAGTCTGAAGAGAACTGTGGTCACAGTTTAAGTGCTCCTTAGGTCTGAGGCTACCCCTCACATAAAGCAACGTTCTGGAAATGAATGCCAAAAGAACACTGCAGTGTTTGTAGTGTCAAAGTCCTTCTCTTTGGGTCTCTACGTTTTTCTGGACAAGCTGACACCCACTCCACCCCCAACAAGCATTCACTAAGTTCCCAAGAAAATATACAACTTCTCCACATACATTTTGAAAGGTCTAGAGTCCCTTCCAAAAAATGCTCACAGATGCACACTTCTGACACATGAACCCAGAGCTGGGATCCAACTCACTTGTTGCACATCAGCAGCACTTCAAGCTCCTTGACATTGTGGACCAGAAACTTCCGAAAGCCACTGGGCAGCATGTGCTTTGTTTTCTTGTTGCTCCCATAACCGATGTTGGGCATCAAGATCTGGCCCTTGAATCTTCTGCGCACCCTATTGTCAATGCCTCTGGGTTTCCGCCAGTTACGCTGGAAAAAAACCCCAAAACCACACAAGAGGGTTAGTGCCTGTGCACACTAACCCTTTTGCAGGAAAAAAGGGGACCAAATGAAAAGGAAACGTGACAGGCAGTCATGTTTGTGTAGCAGGATTTCACTACTTTATATATTACTCTGAGGAAGATAAATAGGAATCATATTTGCAAACCAGGAATATAGATCCACATCCACACTCCTTCTAAGCAAAGGGAAAGCAGACTACACACCAAAGGAACGTGAGGGGATTGTGCACATAGAAAGATGAAAAGCATGGGTTTCCTCATTGCACTCAAGACCCAAGTTTTCTCATCTATAAGGATAATCTACGTCTCATACCTTCATAAGGCCACCTGAAATATGCATATGAGCCTCTAGACACCTCAAAACAGCCGTGTGTGCCTTGTCATTTAAATTTCAATTTACACTTCAAGAGGCTGAGTGGCAATAAATGCCTGGGTTTCTACAGTAAGCTCTTCCACCAACCATACTGGATGGTTCATCTACCAAAGGTAATCTGATTAGGTAATGTTAGAAATCTAACAGCCAATTCAGGAACCCTCTTCTTCACCCCAACACACACTTCCACTTCCATCCCAGGACCACATACCTTAATTTTGACATATCGGTCTGACTGGTGCCGGATGAACTTCTTGGTCCTCTTTTTGACAATCTTGGGTTTCACGAGGGGTCTGAGGGCAGCCATGGTGCCTTTAAAAGAGACAGATACCATATAACAAAGAACAATCCTGAAAAGAGGATTTCCTTCCCCAGGGCTTTAACCTTGTTGCAGAGTGTCTTCCAATCACCAGCTACGGGGCAAGCTGGGAATGGAATGGGTACCTCTGCCAGGCCTGCTTTCCCTCCCATTTCCGAAGCTGGCAGAATACAAGCCACTCTCCAGACGCGATCCTGGGAGGTTAGGAGCCACCTCACCCCCTCAAAGCCAAGAAAGAATACCAATAGCTGACCTAAACCAAACTGGCCCCCAAACGTTCTCAGCCTGCAAAGGGGTAGCAGACCCTACTCCACAGTGTCCCAACCCCCAGATGGTACAATTTCCTTTTAGTTACGCCAGTTGGCAAACTGCATGAGCTGGAGACTGTTTTCTCACCTGTAAAAATGAAGATGCTATTGCACACTGAACGCTTGCAGTGCCCAGACCAAAGCAGAGGCTTAGTAAAAAGAAACCTCTAGATGTACGTCTAAAACGCCTCTGGGTCTTTGAACATACCATTCTACCTGAAGATCAACTCAAAAGTTACCTTCCTCAAGGTGTCCTTTTTGGTAACCCTCCCTTTTTTTGCTGCAGCACCCTTTGTTTTCTTCACAGACATCAGTATGCTTGCACACACTAGGTACTAAATGAACG